TTCAAAAGAAAAAGCGTGTATGAGAAAGAACAAGGAAGCGGAAAATTCATGTTTGGTTTATGGTAATCCTTACTCAACTGTGCAATCACAGAAACGAGAACGAGAATTTTGCGTTGACCACAAATGTTATAATGCTGTTTATTTAGACAAAGAAATATAAAGATGACAAAGAAATTTAAAGATTTCAAGATTTCTCTTAATTTTTGATTAAATAAAGTGTATTTGACATGTTGCTTTGAGATTTAAACTTACACAAAAACGAAAATCCTGGAAAATTGTCGACAGTTATGACTTTTCTTATGGCTATATTTTGACAGGAAGCGATCGCGGCAGGAATACCAGTAATAGCGGTACCGCTGTTCGCGGATCAACCAAGGAATGCCAAGCTAGCCGAAAGCCATGGATTTGGCGTGGTAATTCAAAAGAATAGCCTCGACGTGAACACGATAACTGACGCAATAAATCAAATCCTCACAGATCAAAGGTGCTTCTAAGATTGACAAATCTTTGGTTTGTTCCTAAAGCGCTGGATTTTAGTTATTCGCGTAATATCAAAAGGTTGTCACAAATGCTGAAGAAGAAACCAGTGAGTGTGTCTCATTTGCTGATTTCGTGGACCGAGTTTGTGGCCGAATTCAAGACGTTGGATAACCTCGTGCCTGCGGGAAACAAACTAAACTTTATACAATATTATTCTCTTGATGTCATTGGCTTTCTCTCACTCACATCATTATTGATATTGTATGTTATATGGAAACTACTAAAAATTTTGGTGCTGAAAATATGTTCCAAGTTTTTCAATGAAAGGAAACGCAAGTTTGACTAGCCTAGATTTTGAGAAAACTTCGATTTCTAACTATTATTCTTTTTTCTGCAACTTTGTATGTTGTTGTAACATATTTAGAGGTACAATAGAGCGGTAGAAATAGTTTTTTTGCTCATCATCTTTCATCAAAATTAGTAATTGTATTATATGTAAATGATATTATATATATATATATATATATATATATAT